ACACACTCCTAAATGATGAATTAATCAAAGGGGAAATTAAGAAAGAAATAAAAGTAGTGCTGGAGCTCAATGAAAAGGACAATGCAACACAAAAAAACCTCTGGGAGACATTGAAACTAAACCCATCTTCTACATTGCACAAAAGTCAACTCCAAATGGATCAAAGACCTCAATGTGAAGCCTGAAACACGAAACTGTTAGAAGAAAACATTGGTAATAACCTACTAGATATAGGTGTAAGAAAGAATTTTTTTCAACTGGACATCAATTGCTCAGGAAACAGGGTCAAGAATCAACAAATGGGAACTCATTAAACTAAAAAGCTTCTGTACATCATAAGATGTAACCAAGGAAATGAAGAGAAAATACACAAAGTGGGAGAAAATCTTCATCAGTAACATTTCTGACAGTTTTATCATCCAGAATATATAAAGAACTGAAAAAACAAAGAATCAAGAAAGGAAGAAACTCAATTTAAAGATTGACTGAGAAACTCAACAAAAGAAGAAATAAAGAGGCTAAGAATATCTTAAAAGGTGTTCAACAGCATAAGTAATTGGGAAAATGCAAATTAAAAACACTTTAACATTTCATCTTACCTCAGTCAGACAGGCTATGATCAAGAGAGCAAATGAAAACAAATGTTGGAGAGGATGTGGGGAAAGGGGCCCACTCATCCACTGCCGTGGGATTGCAAACTTGTTCAACCTCTATGGAAAGCAGTGTGGAAAACCCTTAAAAACTGAAAATGTACCTACTATTTGACCCAGTTATACCACTCCTTGGTATATACCCAAAGAACTCACCCTATTGCAGAGACACTTGTACATCCATGTTTGTTGCTGCTCTTTTCACAAAAGCTAAGAGATGGAAGCAACCTAAGTGTCCTTCAACTTGTGAGTGGATAATGAAAATGTGGTACATTTACACACTGGAGTTCTACTCAACAGTTAAGAAAGATGAAATCATGAAATTTGCAGGTAAATGGATGGAACTAGAAACTGTTATACTAAGTGAAGTAATACAGACTCAGAAAAACAAACAACCTATGTTGTACTTCATATGTGGATCCTAGCACCAAATCATTATAAGTGAGTATGTATCCAGATATAATGACAGGAACCAGGATATTGAAAAGGAACCAGGGAGGTAAAGGAAAATGAAGAACCTAAGAATGAGAACAGTAGGAAACAGGTGTTACTAAAGGAAATATGGATAAAAATGGGGTTATGTAAATGGGAGGGGGACAAGGAACCTTGGGGATAAAGGGAAATAATTGTAATATTTTTAAAAGAAAACCACTGAATATATTGAATCATCTGCTATAGACACTCCAAAGTGTCACATGACATAAAATATGGTGTATAAAATTATTTCAGTGGTGAACTTAAAAAATATACCTATAATAAGCTGAGCATGTTGGCTCAGACCTTTCATCCCAGCACTTGGGAGGCCGAGGCAGGCAGATTTCTAAGAGGTCAAGGCCAGGCTGGTCTACAGGTCTACATAGAGAGTTCCAGGCCAGCTTGCTCTACAGAGAGACCCTGTCTGAAAAAGACAGAGAAAAACAAAAACAAAAAAAAAAACCCCAAAAAACTATAATCATTCTGAAACTCTTTATAGGAACAATACAGGAAATAATATGGAGACACCCACTTTTCCAAAGCATGCTGAATAGCCGAATTGCTGAAACAGAGATGGGTCAAGTATTGAATGGGAAGAGTCATGCAGGACATTTAGAGTGTCCTGTGTATTTCTTATCTTTTGTTTTTTCCTCTGGTCTTTTTGCGATGGTCTCTCTCTGTAGCCCCACCTGGCCTGGATCTATCTACATAGGTAGACCAGGCTGTCCTTGATTTCACATAGATCAGTGTGCCTCTGCTTCTTTAGTGCTGGGAACAAAGCCATGCACCAACACAACTGTAGATTTCTAATCTTAACAGTGACTCACAATGAATAGCTGAATAGCTTTTAAAAACTCATTGGTTGGTAACATTAATATCAGTGTAATCAACTATATGGAAAATTTTCTAAGAAAATTATAAAAATATATGGCTTTTTTAAGTTAAAAGGAAAAAGGACTGTTCAATTAAAAGAAACCCCTGTAACTTCTGTAATCCACTTGAGTGCCTGAAACGGTTGAATACATTTGAACAAATTTTCCCCCCTTGGGCAAACACTATTTCATTTACAGGGTGAAGATGGGGAAAGAGGACAATATATTGAACAACGTCTCTAGGACTCTCATTACTGAGACACTGAGTGACAGGACTGATTGATTCAGCGCAAAAAGAAGGACGAGGGGGGCCTGCAGACATGGTTTAGTGGTTCAGACACTGGCTGCTCTTGCAGAGTACCCAGGTTTGGTTCACAGCACCTACATGGTGGGTTAAAATGTCCTTGACTACAGTTTCACTTCCAGTGGATTCCATACCCTCTTCTGACATCCATGGGCAGTGCAGGATACAGAAGCACTTACGTATATGCAAGCAATACCTTCATACATTATTGTAGTTTGTTTCTCCATTACTGTGACAAAATACTGTGACCAACACCAATTTGGGGAGGAAACGGTTTACTTAGCTAACATCTCCCAGGTCACAGTTCATCAGGGAGTCCAAGGTAGGAACTCAGAGCAGGAAACTGGAGGTAGGAGCTGGAGCACAGGCTGTTGAGGAATGGGGCTTACTTGCTTGCTCCCCTGGCCCTTGCTCAATCTGCTTCCTTATACAACATAAGTCCACCTCCCCAGGGATGGCAGCATCCAGAATAGGCCATCCCACATCACTCAATAATCAAGAAGATGCCCACAGACATATTCACTGGCAAGTCCAATGGAGAAAATTCCCCAACTGAGGCTCCCTCAACCCAGATATATCAAGTTGACACTAAAGCTATCCAGCACAACTGACCTCTTGTCAACTTGACACACAAATACATCACTATTAAACCACAACCTATTGATTTCTTGTTCCAAAAATATGATGTTAACATTAATATCACAATATAAGACAGTACAAACTTTACAGTGTCAAATCTCTGCTGCTTTCTGTGATCCCTTCAAGCTTTCAACACCAGAATCATGCAGGAGATTCTTACACATTACCAAGTCCTGCTTCCAGCTTGAGATGGAGTCTCATGCCCCCTCTGAATCCCAGGTCCTGTGCTGACCCTGAAGAAATACTTTCTAGAAGATTTTGCTAAAGTGATGCTGGTCTCTTTTTTATTGCAGCTGATTTTTCAGCCCCAGGTAAGCAGCATCAATTGTCCCCATAAAGCAAAGGTTTAACTTTGGTCTCTTAATCACAGCTGATTCTTCAGTCACAGCTGAACAGAAACCAAAGGTTCTCAATTCAAGAGATCACACAAATGGCCTTTATAGTCTCTGCTTCCTTTTGAAGCTTCACAAGCCAGGCCTCCATTGTTCATAACTCTTTCAGCATAACAGTTCCAAGCTCCAGAGCAACAAAGTCTAAGCACTGAATGGCTTTTCCAGCAATAAACTTTTGAACACTTTCATAATCCTCCTAAAAACACCAAGGTCAGGACTGTCAAAGTAATGCCAAACTCTCTGGTTGGGCAATTTCATTCTACTTTTTTCTCCAATTCTGTAACAAAATACTTTGACTAATACAAAATTGGGGAGAAAAAGATTTATTTTATCTTAGTTCTTTTGCATCACAGTTCATAAGGGAACAAGGTAGGAACTCAGACAGGAAATGAAGGTAGAGATGAGGCACAGGCCATGGAGGAACACTGTTTACTGGCTTGCTCCCCTGACATCTGATCAACCTGTATTCTTATACAACATAAGCCCACCTGCCCAGGGGTGGCATCACCTCCAGTGGGTGGGACCCTGGAACCCTCCCACATCACTCAATAATCAAGACGATGCCCCACAAACAAGGCCACAGCCCAGACCGAAGGAGAAAATTCTGCAATTGAAGCTCCCACATCCCAGGCTGTCAACTGTACAGTAAAGCTATCCAGCAGATACACATAACTTAAAATGAATAAATAGAAAGCAATTTTAAAAAGAGTTAGGAGGCAAGATTATGAGTCCTCAAACATTAGTGCATGAAATCTTTTTCTACAATCACAAACCTAGAGTAGCAAATACCTGGGGAAAGGTTAGATAAGTTCAAAAATTGTCCATCACTCTCATGTCACATTACCCAAGGTGAAAAGAGTTTATAGATAAAGATATTTCATAATTTGATTATGATAACTTACTTATTCTGTGAAATGCACTATGAATTTGTGATGCACATCATGATATGATGCATGAAGAACACACTGTACATGACTCATGCTCTGTAGTGAACATGCACTCTCCTTCACATTATTAGCATTCTTTGTTCAGAGCATATTACATTCATTCTCTTGTTATTTTCCAAGGACAATGTATAGTGATAACTAAGGTAATCCTTTTTTTTTTTTTTTAATTTTTGAGACAGGATCTCCCTGTAGCCCCAGCTGTCCAGGAACTCACTAGTGAGATGAGGCTGGCTCACAGAGATCAACCTGCCTGTGCCTCTCAAGTGCTGGGATTAAAGGTATGTACCACCATTATGCTCAGCAACTAAGGTAATCTCTATGTTTTTAGCTTATTTCAAATTTGAAATAGAATTTTATCTGTTTTCTCTCATATTACCACCCAGTCCATTGTGAGTTGTTTTCATATGATCTACAATTGAGAAAAATTATTCAGCAGATTAACATTAAACTTTGGCTCCATCTTTTGATATTTCAGTCCAGTATCCATGGGGCTCAGAGACTAATATATAATGGCAAGAATGAACCATTAGATGGAAGGTCATGATGTAAGAAATCTCATCTTATGGATGACAAGAACTATCAGAATCTCTTTGCAGTGAAACAGAGTGTAGAAGAACCATTTTCAGGTCTATATCCCTCTTTACTTAGGTCCTCTCACCTGGGCCCCTCCTTCAGCCACTCAAACCTACCTCGATGGCTACATCCTCCCCTCTCTTCACATTCCAGGGCTCTTTGCTTTGCTCCAGACAGGAGACCAGAACAGGCTTACACATCACAAGACCTGTATATGAGAAAGGGGCACATGATGCTTCCTGGACGCTTTAGAAAATACCAGAGTTCTAACATAGCACTATGCTCTACTGATAATATTCAGAAAAACAACAGAGTCTCCAAATGATTTCCCAATTTTTATTTTCTGACAGTCTCATTGGAATACATAGGAATGTTTTCAGTTTTCATATTTTGAGTTCTGTCACTGATTCACAATTCAGCTATGGTTACAGGGGCTGGATAGATGCTCAGGGGTTAAGAGGTACTGACTACTTTTGCAAAGAATCAGGGTTAGATTCCAAGCACCCACATAGCAGCTACAAACCATCCTTGACTCCAGTTCCAGGGGAATCTGATGCTGATGGACTCATACACATGCAGGCAGTACACTCACACACATAAAATAAAAATAAAATATATATTTAAAAATAAGATTCTGGCTACAGGGCTAAAGTACCATGTGCCAATGTGTGGCTGAAATTAACACCAAAAATAATAAAAATTGATAATTCCTCTAACAAGTGGAAATGGATGGAAAGAAATGATAAAACATAAATATGTTCTTCATGATTCCCAGACATTCCCATGAACTAATTTTTAAAGAATCCAAGACTTAATTAGCAAAACTAACACATGCACAAAGTAGACTATAATCTTTCAAAGGAAGCAGGATAGTAAAAAATTCTCCAAGAAAAATCTCCTCACCTATAGACACCAGATTGTTGTAGTTCTCCAACATCAACTCCCTGTACAAAGCCCTCTGAGCAGAATCTAGGCATTCCCACTCCTCCTGGGAGAATTCTATGAACACATCCTTGAACGTCAATGGATGCTAAAATGAAAAATGATAATTATAACATGTGCACTTAAACAGGGTACGGGACTGAAGAAAGAAAAAGATAATTAGTAAATGACTTCTGAATTAAATGAGAAATCTGAATTAATAAAAAGGATATTTCTTACTGGAATATAATCTACTCACAAACTCTGTGCAAAAGAAGAATAGCATCAGATCCTCCAAATTTTTGTGAAGATTATGATATTAAGGAGTGTATCACATAAATTAAGCCATCAACATAGGAATTGCATTTCACTCCTATATTTGTAGCATACAAGACCAGTTGTATATATTTATCTGATGTAAAGTTACACTTACTATGAGTCTGCTTCATGAATTCAAATGTTTATAACCATTCACTTTAGTCCTAGCTGAAACACAGATTTCTACCTTAACATGATCTTTGGCTGGACCTGACTTAACCCTTTCCTTACAGACTTTTCAGTGAGGCCAATGCCCCAGGTACAAAAGACATATTCTCCAACAGCACTGAGTAGAACATTGGGAAAGATACAAAACTGCATGTGCTCTCCTCCACAGCAAGAAGACACAATCCTTGTAAAGAACATCCTACACCCTGCATGTAACATAGAAATTACAGAAACATCAGGGCATCATTATTCTTAAAATAATTGTATAATGATTTCTTCAATCATCATTTACGTACCTAAAATTTACCTAGAAGGAATACACTGGTTGACTTATGCACACAACAATCAGAGGATTTGAGAACAGGGCTCCTCACTGAAGAGTAACAAAAATATGAAGACAAGATCCAATGCTGGCTGAACAATGTTGACGCTGCATACACAAATGCTTTCAAATTCAGACAACTACATGTGTATAACATTTTATAAAGAGAGCTTATTCTGAGGATGAAATAACCAGTAAAGGAGGTAGTGCTGTGACTAACCCAACAGAGAGAAAGATATCTGCCTCAGAAGCTCCACTTGGAGAACTCAGCATTCAGCAAAGAAATGAGAAAGGTTTCTTTCTCCAAAGAAAGGAAGAAAATTAACAGTGATGAAAGGAGAGATTCTGCATTAAATGTCATATTTCACGTGCTTCATTCTGTAAACTACCAGAAGAAATCTTATTCCTAAGAAATTGAAAACAATGACGCAAAGGCCTGGTATTTGGTGCAGAGCAGTTTAACCAAGGGAATCAACTACCAGGAGACAAAAGAATACAGGTGTCAACAAACCCAGCAGTGATGTTGGTGGGATTAAATATTGAGCAAAGTAATACAATAATCCGCATAAAATAAAACAAAAATATCAGTTTTATTTATAGTTCAAACAACAATACAGTGGCATATGAGGATGCAAGCAAATATCAGTTTTATGTATGGTTCAAACAACAATACAGTGGCATATGAGGACGCAAGTCCATCCTCCTTAGAAACTGAAGATGGACATATTTGAATTTTCAACTATCATCTCAGTAACACTTTTGAGATGGCTGGTCATGAATTCAATGGATTAGTCTGGAAAACATAAGCACTGGAGGACAAAATGGAGAGGTGGATATGCTACATAGGTGATACATATGAAATGTGGCCCGGGTATGGTGGTATGGGCCTTTACCCCCAGGAGTCCAGAGGAGAGGGCACAAGGGTCTCTGTGAGATCCAGGTTAGCCTGGTCTACATAGCTAGTTTTTGGATGAGTAAAGATTACAAGTTCAAACTACCAAACATTTCGGGAAATTAAGTTTACGCAGTCCAGGCCTTGGATGCATTTACCTGAGAAGAAGCCATCTCTCTCCTCCTTCTGGGAGTTTCTTCCCAGGCAATACATAAACACTCTTCTCCCTCTTTCAAGAAACTCCCTTTCAGTTTACTGAAAATTCACTTCACCTGCCAACATAAGAGGAAGAAGCATCTCAGAAAACAAAATAGGCCGTTATACTGTCTGCTGTCACAGTAGAAGCGCAGAAAGAAAGCACAACATGGAGACCCCATAGAAGTTTTTCCTTTTCTCCCTTTGAGTGTCCCACCCTACCAACAAGATCAAGAATTTCTATTACTACGTGGTACTGTAGCTGCCTCACCTCTTTACCTAAAGAAGGCAGAGTAAGATGGTTTTCATCCGATGTAACAGAGGCTAAACTAAGCTCTCTTTCAGAAGCACTGGTAGCTGACCACCAGCCTCACTCTCTTCTGCCTGCAACTGTTCATTGAAACAGCGCTGATGCTTCCACTTAGCTTCATGGACAGAATATGGGGAGTGTGGGGGGAAGCATAAGTAAGTTTTTCTTTTAAAGGCTGCTTTAGGAGTAGTTCATTATGAGTTTCGAAAGTCTGTTCTTGGGGCTTGAGAGAAGGCTCAGAGGTAAAGAATAAATGCTGTTCTTGTATAGGACCTTGGTTCAACTTGCAGTACACACATGGTGCTAACAACTGTACTGAACACCTGTTCCAGGGGTTCCCACACTCTCTTTCTGCCTCCACAGACATTGCTCACATGGTTGCACTTACATACACATAAGCACAACACTCTTACACTTGAAAATAAAATAAATAATAACTTTTAATAAAAATAGAACAAGTTTTGTTTGATGACATCACATTTTACATATTTGTGACATTACCTTGATATTTTGTTAGACATATACACTGGATATTGATCTAATCTGTCATTAGTATATCCACACGTAAAATTTTATCCTTTCCTATGGTGAGTGTATCCAAACTGATATTTTCTAACAATTTTAATATACAAAATGCAATTTGGATTATTTTATTTTCAAGTGTAAGAGT